ATATATAGCCTTTTATCTCCCAAAGCTCTAATGCTAAATCTTTACGACAGAACATAAAAGAAATTGACTGCCCAAGGCTATACCTTACCTCACGCCAGCATACTTTTCAGGGCCAGCACAACTTATTTCAGGCTGGAAGGGTAGAAATGTTCGTACGCGGTTAGTGACAAGATATCTTACAAACCAGTCGAACGACTCATCACATATAAGGTTATTACCTAGAAAGAACTACATTGTAAAGAAAAGTTGTACAATGAAGACAAATCGCGAAAGAAAAATTAAGAAGAAAAACTTCCTGTTGGAAATGTTTCTTTCTAATAAAAATTCGGAGTGACATTACCATCTAAAAGGATGTTAGCAATCTTCGTATCGAAAGTCCCCTCCTCGAATGATGAGAGCTGATTGTTGGACAAATCCAGCCAGAAAAGCTTTTCTTGGTGCAGAAACGTTTTCTGTAATTAAAATAATTATCAGAAAGCAATTTAATGACTAATAAGTGGGTGAACAAATATTAGACAAACTTTGCCAATCTTCTTCAAGTTGTTGTAAGCAAGATCCAAAGTTGTTAGATGACGAAGTGAAGAAAATGTGTTTTCATCCACAGTTGTTAGCGAGTTGTTGCGAAGGTTCAGTTGTTGCAGATTCTTCATCCCATCAAGCATACCGCGTTCTAATTCAAGCCAAATTGGAGAATGAAAACGCATAATATTTGTTTTGAATTACCTATGCTCTGGATGGAATTATTGGAGAGCAACAGCACGAGTAGTTGATCCAATGAGTCAAAGCTGTTTCTAGCAATTTGCACAATGTTGTTATTCTGAAATTGAAGAATATGTTGCAGCATAATTTCTTAAAAAGATGATCCTACATGTGTCAAAGAAAACGAGATACCTGTAAGCTGATCAACTGAAGTTTTGGATTATTAGAAAAAGCCAAAGTCTCCACTTTTTCTATAAGATTTCCATCAAGACGAACTTGCTTCAAATTCGTCAGGTCCTTCAGCTCAGGCAACTAAAAATAATATAGTCACGCGCACCTATCTATTAGAAACACATTACACACAAAGACTGCTTATAAAATCCGTGAAACAAGCTTCTTAAGCTTCAATCTAAACAAGTTGTGTTCACAACTTTGTTTTTATTTTTTATGTGAGACTACAGATCAACCGAAAGCTCTACAAAGTGCGATTTACTCTGCAAGCTAAAAACTTCTGATGGAAGAGCTCTGCAGAAGCTTAAATTGGATGTTCGCTTTACAAGCAGCAAAAAATGCTTGAGAAAAGGAGTAGAAATTTATTGGTTGGCGAGTCAAAGTACCCCTTTTCTCGCTTACATCATGCATAGCGTACTCACAATCGTATCTTTCTACAAAATGCAAAAATAACAATATAAACAAATAAGGGAGCTTTGTTTCCAAGAAATTATAGTGTTTTTTGTTAAAAGTAACTACGAATTCAAAAAAAGTAGAAGCAACTGGCACGAAATATTTGCACAGCTATTTTTAATGTTTCGAATGAGGGTGATATCGCATCAAAAGAACCTTTAAGAAAAACAAGATAATCGCGAGAGACTTTCTAGAACGCACATACCTTTTGCAAAAGATTGTTGGTGACATCTAGGATTTCCAGATTATGGAAAGCTTGAAGTCTGTTTCCATCGAGGCTTGCTATCAAATTATCTCTCATGTAGAGATACTGTAGCTGTGGGACGTTCATAAACG